AAATTTGTTAAGTTACTATTTGGTGTATCCAGTCGAAGTTAGGACTTACCGGGCTTATCGTATCGTTTTACAGCGTTTGGTACATGAACACTGGTATCGCTTTGCCGGGACATATTGCATATATCAACATGGGCATTGTGTTTTGGACGTGTCCAAGGAAGAAACAATATCGTCTTGGAGAAAAAAGAACTTGCAGAAAGTAAATGAACATATACAATAATATACAATATATACAGCAACATTGAATCAGTAATTAGTAATAAGTATAAGCCAGCCTGGGGAGTTCTTGCCACGTAAAGCCCACCGCGATGTTGAGGCAAAGCACGACTTCTCAAGATGCGACCCACAGCGTATTCTGTGACCTGGGAGAACCAACCCAAGATTCACACCATAAACACTCAATCCCTGAGCCTTAGTGTTCTGGGGTCAACAATGGTTTAACCCAGCCAGCGCTTCTCGCAGTGCTGAGGATGGATCCAGCTAGCGCTACGTCCATATCAACTCTCAATTAGGCAAATACATCAAGTCAGGAATATCAAGCACAAAAGCGGGCTGGGAATCAATGGATCATAAGATTGGTGAAGCCACGCCATCGTAGATGCTCAAAAGTCGACCGTTGACCAAGGCGACAATCTGGGAGCAGAGGTGGGAAAGCAGCACTCCAGCTGACAGCTGATGATGTCCAAGCGAACAATCAAATGCCTTGTCAAGAACCTTGTCCCGGGATGTCCCGGGATTGTCCTCATGTTTCTTCTCTATTCCGAACTCTTCCTGTCTGATCTCTGCCTGGCCTTAAAGAAGTCTCCACGCTCGAAGCTCATGTGCAATAGTTCTACGAAGTGTCAACCTTGTGACAAGATATCGAGATGTTGATGTTCGAGCAAGCTTAAACTACATCCTTCAGCAAACCTTTGTCATGCTTCTTTTGTCGCTCAACATACCTTTCCGGTAGCTTGCCATTTCTTGCCTTGATTTCTAAGTAATGAGTGCATGTCACCCTTGAGCCAAGAGTGAGTGGCTCTGTAAGAAATCCAATTTGGTTGCTTTTTCAGAACTAAACAATTGCACAGCAACTGCACGGACACTTGCCATTCGTTGTGGCGCCTGAGCTGAGCATCATTGCCTCGTCACCCCATGCCGGGGGCAGGCACATGTCCTCTTCGCACATCCTCCGTGCAATGTGTCGTGCAAAGACTGGCCAAAGCCAGCCATGCTAGCATGGATCCAAATGGATCAACATCACGATGCCTTCTGTGGCAAGTATTACTTGAGGGTTAAGATCCCGACCCAGGGTACTCCAAAGGCGGCACCTCTGGAGCAGGGCGTAGGAGAGGTGACCTCAAAAATCGTCAGATGTTCAAGAAACTACAAATGCCTAAACAAAGCTCTTGACGGAGTGTCTGGAACGAAGGAGGTCTCCTTGGCCAAGCAGCCACGAATTCAGTGCTCACGTATATCGAACATCGCACAACGGGGTGGCACGGTGCTACGAATCGTATCTTTGAATCACTTGAATCCATGTATGTGTCAGTCTGTACTACTATATATATATATACGACATACATACACGCTTCAATCAAAGCTTTGTCTTTGCCTTTTGCCCACCGACAGTGAGATCGTGTTTGCTACGGGCACTGAAGTTGGTTGTCAACATGTTGAAGCCCAGGACCGCCCGAAGAGCCTGGCTCATATATAACTATAACTTGAGGAACTTGCTGCTGCATGAAATTGCCCAAGGGCACTTTGACGAGCTCTTCTCCACAGGAGGCCGTCTGTGTTCGCTAGTGTTAGTATGGTCTTTCCGTGTTGTTGTCCTGTTGGCAACTTTTGGTCTTTGGTCAGGCACAAATTTCAAGTATATTATGCTTTGCTATCTTTGCTCCCTACCATTGGGACTCAGCCGGGGTGGTGGCGTTTGGGTGCTTTATTTCTTGGCATCTTTTAGAGGAACAGCTGCTCATGTCAATCTGTAGGCAACATAGTGACATAGCCCTCTTTGACATTTCAGCCCCTAAGGGGATGCTTGATCAAATGCCACCCTGTTGCCACGTTCATGGCTGTCATTGTCTTTCACAGTCGGAAATCATGACATGTCATGGTGCCCGTTCCAGCCAGGAACTGGGTGCTGGGGTTCTTTGCTCCCTCCGTCACGGCCTATTTTCCCTTGTCTTTGATGGTAGTCCATATTGGTAGAAATGTTCCTCGTTCTTCATCTATGCCAATCCTATGCTCGCATGAATTCTGCCATCAAAACTTGCATACAGTTGCGATCATTTATCTTTGCCTGACGAAATCTTTTCTGCAACGAGGTGAAGGATGCAGCTAACACCCCTTCTGAGAAGCAAACCCTTGGACTGTCGCAAGGCCTCAGTCAAGCAGTCTCTGAAACTCTGTCAGCTAAACTAAGTTTGAACTTGTGCTTTTGCCTCAAGGCTTCAAACATATTGGATCTCGCAAAGAAAAAAAAAGTGTCCGACGATCTTGCCGGCCCTAGTGGAGGCGAGAGTGCCTGCAAGGCACTCTAAGGTTAGGGACTTCCAGACTCTCGTGCAGATTGGCACTGCACTGCTATTTACTTCCTGCAGAGTGCATCCAACATCTGAGAAACACCAATTCTTGAAAGGTCTCATTCACAACTTCATCGCTGCATCAGGTCTCTTTCCACATGCAACCATGGCGTGCAGGAATGATGCTTCGTAGCACTAGCATTAGCACAGTCTCGCAGGCCATCAAAAGCCATGCTTCTCTCCCATCATCTTCAGTAGTCGCTGGAATTCTCCCAACCTGAGGCATACAGCTTGTACAAAGCAAACATCTGAAATTGTCTAACATTAGAGTACGTGCAAATGACTTGCTTGGATCCCGGAAGCTGTTCGCAGTTGTCAGTCTGTCCAGCGATCTCTAGCTGACCTATGTTTTGTTTTAGTAAAGGTTATGATTTTCCCAATATTTATCTGATATTATCCCTTCAGCAAGGACACGAAAGCCGGTCATCACGGTCCTTAATCAACTCACATCTGACTGAAAAGCTATTATCCTACTGGTCTCTTACTGTCGCTTTGAGCAAAGGTTCAGCATCCACCGTCTCAAAGTTCTTCACACAAGCAGACTTCATTTGCTCGATTTCAGCCTGTCACAAATACTAGTCTTGGGATTTGTAGATACCAAATTCTGTCACCGTCAGGCTATGGCTATGGAAATGTGCCTTGCTGCGCCGCTTTGCTGCAGTAGCTCGTGCGACCACACTTGTCAAGGTTTCTTCCAAGGACAAGCTCTGCATTTCCTGCAACTGGCAAGCGAAGACCTTATCCAGCAATTTCCTCTGGATCTCTAGTTGCTACAGCATGTGCGCGAAGCCTTGGCAGTGTCACCAGCAAAATCTCCAGCCTCATGAAAAGCTGCCTTAGTTGCTCTGGCCAAGAATGTCGGGAAGCGCAACAATGATCTCTTGAAAATAATGATTAACAAATTAAGAAATAATAACAAATGAACATCCAGCTGCCAAGCCTGCCCTGTTCAAATCAAGGGGCCACAGAGAAGGTTACGAGCGCCTAAGTTCAGTCGACTAAATGGCAAGTTCGTATCGAGTTTCGGCTGAACAGGACTGTAAAGTGGAGACGCTGACATGGCAGAAGCAATCCTTTGCCAAAGTGCAAACAGCAGGATTTTCGCTGGCTCCCACATGGCTTTTTGAGGCTCTCTGGACTCAGAAGGGTTGCAGAGGTTTTCACTACAACCAAGACACTAAGACATAGGACTACCATGCATGGTTGGCAACATGGAGATTGTCGGGTCAACCGTCAACCAATGGCATTGGTCTATTAAGATTCTATTCCTGCAAGGTGGGCAGAGCAGTTTCACAGGCCACTTGAGCTCAAAGTTGTGGATACGTCCGCTATTGTGCTATCAGAAATCTGAATTGAGTGAACTACAGTGACAGTAAGTAGTAACAAAGAAGCAAATGGCAAAACATAATTTCTCGCTCGAATATGTACCCGTACCTGAAGCTTGTCTGTGGCGTCGCTCTTGCATCGGCGACCTCGCAAGTAGACCTGCGAGCAAAGGAAATATGTGTCCACGACATATCCATGTTGCGACCTAGTCGATCTGCACACACGTTTCATCTCGTTTCTACTTTTTAATACCCGTTGAGTTGTGCAACTTTTTCTGGGCGCACCGCACGATGCAAAGTTTCAAGACCTTTTACAGTAGCAGGCCCGAAAATCGAAGAAAAAGCACCATGAATGGCTGGTAGGCCAAGTCCTTGATTGCTCTCCTCTTATATCAATGTGACGTCTTTCAATTGCATGTTTCATGTTGGATCTGCTGCAAAGAAATACACACACTTGATTCAGGAAATGCATTCTTCTACCTTCAATTATTCAATAACCCTTGATATGATTAGGACAAAATGAGCACCATCAATCAAGCACAGTGCTCTGGCTTATTCAACATATTCATGCGCATGAGTTTAAGGAATCCCACGCACTTGTCATATCAAATATAATCCGATATCCCAATGCAAGATTCCGCATTGATTCTGAAGATGTCTGCGGAGATCGCAAGATTGAAATGGACCTTGCGCCTTTGCCCAGCCAGGCTGTCACAAGGCGTCTTGCCAAGTGGCTGAAACTGCTCTCAAGCAAAGGATCAAAGCTGCTCAATTGCTTCAAAAGTCAAAAGGTCAGAATTCTTTGTGATAATCTGCGAGGATCCAAAAAACATGTTTGAGTACCTTTGTGCCTTACAACAATCACATGGGCAGCTCCTCCCTGTCCCGGTGAAAGCGGTTCAGTCAAATTGAGAATTTTCGAAATGTACTCGGCGTTCTGCCACGAACCACAGAAGCGCTTTTGGCAGCTTCATCATTGAATCCTCTTTGAATCTGATCAAAGCAATTGCATGTTGCACCCTTTGGCAATGAAGGACACTAAAGCTGAAAAGGATCGCTGCTGTGACGGCAGGAAAAGGTGGCGACTTGCGGCCCTTAAAAGGGGCTCTCAGTCTTTCTTGGCCTTGGTCACAAACTGCTCGCTCCCAAACTGTTAGGGCTGAAAGGATACAGAAACATATTTTGCTGCGAGCAAGTAATATTTCAAACAAACATCCACTTCAGAGCTTGAAGGTCCCGGCATGATCAGGCTCTATGCAGGCAAGGGTGAATCCATGCCTGGTCGCCTGCCACAACGTTCTCTGTCTATACACGAATCTTTGCCGTGGCTCTCTAGTTCTCTTCCAGAAAGTGGAACGGGAAGTGCTCAGAACTCTCTCAATGTTTGCTGGCAAAGAACAACGCGTTCGAATACCCTAAGAGCCTAAGATGCATTCGGAACCGCCTTCTCCCACCAACCCTCAACCTCATCGACATCCACCTGGCCAAGACTCATGGTGCTTGATCGACCCCGAAAGGAGAAGCGCACGATCTGCTTGCAGATTCGACTCATGAAACACCAGTATGCTGCCAGTATGCTGTATTATCTCTTCCATGAAGGGGCTCGCAATGGCTCACTGTTAGATCGAAATGCTCTGTGAAGGGCCAGAGGAGTTGATCATTGGAAGAGGAGATCTTCAGCAAACTGTGCAATTGGATGGATCTGAGCCCAGTCAACCAAGCGACCGTTCGGAATTTTTGTTGGTGCTTCGCACAATTCTGTCAAGCACATTCTTTCGATCAAGTTAAGTTTCATGAACCTGGAGAAATTCCAACTGTCTTCAGCGTTCGGAAATCGCCTTGGCATCCTAATTTGTTTAAGATCCTCCAAAGTCAGAACAGGCAGCTAGCCTGCTAGCAAACTATGGGCAGTGGCAAGGAAACGCAACGGTATCTTTATGCTTCTGTTTTTCCCACCAGGATATCCGACCAACTCCACCCAGCAAACGAATGTCTCCATTTCAATCTGCCACAGCCTCCCCAGTCTCGTGCTTTTGCGTGTTTTCCCTGGCATGGACGATCGCTGCCTCAGGACAAACAAATCAAACCAAACCAAAAGAAGAGGGTGATGGTGGTGATGGCGGCGGCGGCAGCAGCAGCCGTGTTATAGCCATGTTATATAGTGGGGCATCCAAGCTAAAGCTCGTACATATTGAGGTTCTGGTAAAGCAGTCTCACATGTTCATGTGGGTGAGAACTGACAGCTGCATCCTTACCTTCTGGAAGCTGTGCATCATTCAAAGCCCAAGAAATCCAGAATGAAAGCAGAATGATCCCCGATAACTGCACCGCACTAGTTCATCCGTTTCATTGCAGTCCGCACAGTCTGCTGGCAGCTGGTGTTCGATGATTGGGGCGGAATCCACTGCGAGAGTGGTCGGGCTCAGGCCCACACCGCCAAGCAAGCTGGAACTGTCTTCGGCACATCATGGCAGAAGGTCAAATCTGTGTCCTTCTGGCCTCACATGGTTCAAGACGATGTCAAAGGTTGCAAAAGGGCTGCAAAAGCTGAAGGAGGAAGTCCCACAGAAAGATATCACAGGCTAGGCACTATGACAGGCAGCTAGGCCAGTGCTACTTCCTCTCAGGCTTCGGCTGTAGCTCAGAGCTGCACCGTTGACATAGCGGTAGTCTTTGGCGATCTCCTGCGACAGGCTTGAGGAAAAGCAATTAATTCTTTGAGCAAACTGAAGTCTGAAGTTATACGCATTGCAATAGTTCCACTCAAATGTCTCAAATTCAGTCTAGAGCCTAAAAGGAAAGCATCCTTGCACCGGGCAATCGGATAACCAAAACGCAAGTCCACGTCCTCGCTGACATGAGGCACCGCAAAGTCGATGATCAAGGATTCAGGAGGGATCAGTGCCTCAAAACAGCTCAAAGACATGGGCACTGCGCGCGACAAGCTGAGTTGGAATGTCGTGCCTACACAGCTGGATGGATATCAGAGTACTCAAACATCCCGTGCCTGGATTTTCTTTGGCTCCATCACTTTCCCCAAGATCCACACTCTGCAGCCCACACCTTCTTCGTAGGTCTGCACCTGCAGAAGTGCATTCTCAGGTCCATTGCGTACGTGCTGAAAACGCGAGCACTCTAAGATTTTGGCCCTTACAAGATTCTTTCCTCCATCTCCAGCCTGGCATGACATCATCGGCATCATCCCCGCGCATCACGAAGAATCAAATCCGCCTCACTCTTGATTTTTTGAAATCGCTCCTCACAGCCCGTGATCATCCTTACCTGTTGCTGGGACGGCTGTGACTGTGAGGGAGGATGAAGTCTACCGTAAAATGTGAGGATGGGTCTAAACGCACTGGGCCATGCCATTGGGAGAGATGTATTTCAATACCTGTTTATATACCAATCGATTTGGTGCGAACTGCAGCGGGGTATAGGCATATAGGGTGTTGAACCTTGGCTTTCTTAAGTGCAATTTCCTTCTCAAAGCACAGGAGCAAAGAGCCACACTAGAACAAACCTGTTCAATTCTAGCGAGCATACTTGGGACCGCACGGTGTGACCCCGTCGTGCCAACAGAATGCAAAGAGCACGGCCAATCTTGGAAGTGGATCCGGCAAACACAATCTCATCCTGCGCAATGCGGCTAAGCATATGAGCTTCTGCCAAACCAAAACGTACAAGGTTATCGCTTTTGAGTGGGGCCTATCGCTTTTGCAGGTTCTAGCCGAATTCCTGAAATTCACGACCACTCTAAACTTGTTTAATTAGTCATCGCACGTGGAGAGTTAGCAACATGTCAATGCTGACTCCAACTAGATGCAGAAAGCCAGAAGATCCTACTGGTTTCCCCTTTCGCCTTAGGCTGGGTATATTGTCGCAGTGCCTGGCTGCACGTTGCAACAAAGCAGTTCATCTGACTGGCCCTGTGCTGCTTCTTTTCTGGACATGTTGTCTCGTGATGTTCCGAGCTCGTTTGCTCGCAAAGCTCAAGCCTGCCAAACAGCGGCAGCTGTCAAGGTGTTGCCATGCACAATCCGGATCTTGCGGTCTCCAAGAAGAGGCAGCAACTCTTTTCCTGTCGGAGGCTATCGCTACTAGGGCCAGGGTGGAGGCCCATCGCTACGTACTAACTAGATTGGAGGCCATCGGTTGGAGGCCATCGCTCTTGGGTGGAGGTCATCGCTATTAGGTTGGAGACCATCGCTGCTAGGGTGAACACTGCGTGAAGGCTCAAAGCCGCTGAAGACCCTTTCACGACCCAAAGGAGGACCCTGGGGTGCTGGTGCTTGAAAACGAAATCCGGTGTTTAAAATGCGTTCCATGTGTGAATCTACTCAGCGCCTCCTTGGTTGATGAACTCAGCCTCAGTCAAAGGTGACATTGCTTCCGGGGCCAAAGTTTTGGGCAACATATTGCTGTGTCAGAAAGGGCACGCTCCACAATATGCTCAATGCTTTCTGAGAAGTTGATGCGAATCTCATTGGTTCATATTGGTGGATATTGGTTCTGTCCTTTAGAGGACTGTGACTACATCAAAACAGCGTTTGTTGCGCCTTGTTGAGGTGAGCAAGGCCAAAGTATTTGACTCCTGCATCGTCTGCGTCTCGCACTGCCTGCAAGACCAAGGTGACTTTGACATGCGTCACAATGACATGGCTTGTGTTTCATACATGGCATTCCACGTCCAAGTTGGGCCTGCGCAATCATTTCAGAGATTTGTTGCCTCCGGCTCGAAACATCAAAGTCACAATAGGTCAAAAGCATGGTGGATATATATATATATATATGTCAAGGACATCTTTTTGGTATATGTGCAAGCTGTCATGAATTGGACAATCGAATGGCATGAGCTCAACTGTCAAGACCTGCATGAGAGGCCGTGACATGTCTTTATTCCAACCACCTAAACGACAGGCCTGTGAGACTTCATGAAATAGAAGTGCCCTGTCACAGGCAAGCACCTCAGCATCAAAGTGAGATCCGTGCAAACCTGGATGGCTCCATTGGCGCTTCCAAGTAATTCGATATTGGCCAAGGTGCCACGTGGCACACTGTGTACTGCGGTATTGGTAGCCTCAAGTAGATCAACAAGCAACTCGACATCAAGTACAGTAAAGGGGGTAGGTCGTTAGCCAGAAGTAGCTAGGCAGCAAGGACGCAAAAGCGTGAAACAACTCGTAGTCCGGTCTGAGAGCAACCTGTGTGAGACAAATCTTCCTCTCACCTGTTCCAAGCTTCCGGACGCTGAACGCACGCAGTGCTCAGGCAGTAGCGGCAGAACAAGACCTGACTGATATGCGCTGCACCGTTCTCGCCGGACCGGGTAGACCAGGAGAGTTATTTCTTCGTCCAGGGTAGACCCCTGTACGTTTTCGTGTCCACTGAGTCCACTGAGTCCACTGGCCCACAGGAAGGTCAAGGGCTGCAACGGGATCATCCACCAGCGCTGCTCATGTTGGTGGGAGGAGAGAAATGGCGAGAGCCTCGCAAACACCCTTCCAGTCAGTCATGAGGCACTCTACGTGTTTGTTGCAGATGTCAGATTTAATTATCATCATTTACCTGATTCCACCTGCTTCAAGCAGCAGAAGACTGAGCTCCCTACCATGGCACGTGCAGCCTGAGCTTGCTGCGTGTTTCCCTAAAAATCTAGGAACCAAATCCAAATCCTTGAAGAAGCGTGAGCTATCTGCGTCAGCAAACTTCTCCTAGTAACTAGTAGCTTTTTAGTGTCTCCCTTACTTACTTAATTAAGTAGGCAGGGGGAGCGGGCTAAAAAGAAAAACGTTGAGGCAGAACAAAAACAGGTGGTTTCACCTCCTTGGCTCCCACTAATTGCTCGTCACTTGCATCTGTGGAGTCTGTGAAACCAAATGCCAGGCAAACTCCGAAATGGATACGAGATAGAACCACCTTGCCCTTGCTCCACAGTTCCGCCAATATTCAGAATTATTAGTCGTAATTTGGGTGGAGGTGATGAGCTTCTGTGCAAGTTGGCCATGGATTGGTGAGCTCGCGGCATGCAAAGGTTCATCTCAACAACACGAACTGCCGAACTGCCATGCACACCATTCAACAAAGCTGTTGGAGAGCGACCAAGTACCAGGCATGGAGTACGAGTAGTGTCCATGAGCCAGAAAAATCACATCCAACGGGCGAGGCTTCTGGGTAAGGACCTCAGAAACTACCACATCTCCTCTTCAAAACAAACCAGAAACAAGCAGTCGTCATATTGCTTAAAATGAGAACGTTTGATCCCAAAGTGCAAAAGTCAAAAGGACCTTTCTGAATTTCTCTCAGATACCTGAGTGTGGAGAGTGTCGGTCGTCGGGTGTACTGTGCCTCAAAAGCTGCAAACTCTGTCTGCTCGTTTTCCTTTCTTTCCCTTCTCTTCGAAACCTGTTTTCTTTCTTCCCATTCTGCTTCAACCAACTCTTATATAATCGTTGCCCATATTCCAAATGAGCACCTCAAGATACAGAGGCCGACCTACTGTTCGACTTCATCTGCGTTCTCCCAAACACCTGACACAAACTGGGTTTTTGGGCCGCCCAGGTAGTCCCAAATCGGACAAAAAAGGCAATAGTTGTACTTGTACTTGCCTCAGTACAGTGCACAACTCGAGCAAATGTCAAGGCAACCTGCTGTGAGTGCAGTTTCTCCCCGAGCTCAACACTGTGGTGGAGTGAGTGATAGGACGAGGTGTAAATGAAATACTTCAAAGGCCCTGCCTGAGAACACCCATGACATGTTTATCGGAACAGAGTTGAAGCATGCAGTGTGCAGTACTCAGTACTCTTGACGCTTGCACTGCTTTGGGCAAAGCCATTGCAGCCAAAGCGGCCTGTAGCCATCGCGGCACAACCTCGAAGTTGCAGTGGCCAATGCAGTTCATGATGTCGAAGAAGGTGAAGTATATTGGGATCTGAGGGCAACCAAGTTGTCTGCTGCTCTCCACAGAACCGGAAGATACAGACCAAGAACTTAGAAACAACCTAAATGTGCTTGTGTAAGTAGACCCAATATGTCGCAATTCCGATAAATAGAAGTCATTTAACAATTATTTTTCCCAGCCTCTCACCTTCCCTCCCCGCTCCCCTTTGTGAAATTCTTGATGGATACACTCAAAATGGAAACACCGAAGCAAAGGTTGAAATTGAAACACCGAAGCAAAATCAGATTCACAGGATTGCAACAACTTCCGAAAAAGCCTCCGCTCCTTGATGCAGCGTCCACTGTCAAAAACACTGCTCAACTACCAAATGCAGCACAACACATGGCAACTTATGAACAAACAACAGTTCTAGAACTTCGACAATTCCTCTGGGAGGGCGTGCCAATGACGTAGAGAAGCAGCCACACCATGCAGGCACAAGAAACCTTGGGCCGTCGGTAACACCGTGTCAAGCTTGCACGTGTAGCCTTTGTTGAGAATGATTATGCCTGTCAAATCCAGTGGGCGCACACAACACCAATGATCAATCCTCTGTTTGACCGCCCAAAATGCAGGTCCAAGGTTCTTCGAACCGGATTCTCATTAGGTGAAAGAGGAGCAAAGAAGAAAGTACGGATTCACGGCTCAGATCAGAAGCGCCACTTGGGATGTGAAACTGGACAAGCAATCTAAAGTCTAAAGATCCGGAGCAGTCATAGTTGAGACTGAAACGTGAGTGCACCGAGCATGATCTTCTGGGAAACAATCTTAAAAAAGTAAAGGTCTCGGTGTGCTGAGGTGTGAAAAGAACAATGAGGTTGATCTAAATTGCCTGCAGTGGTTCTTGTCCACTTCACTCGTCCAGTTGAACCACACGTGGTCTGTAGAGCTGCATTTTGCAGATCAAGCTGCTTCTTGGAAGACACTGAGCCGAGCAAACTTGGGAAAAGAGTCACTGGGCTCTGAATGTGGACGTTAACTTATAGACTAAGTACTGTTTGACCATGTTTGACCTTGGAGGCCACCCAACACACATGACTCACATGTTTGCATTTTCCTACATCCCGCAGGTGTACCTGAGTACCTGGTGCAAATAACAAGGTAACTCAGGGAGAACAAACACACAGCGAACGCGTGCCTCTCACACTTGTGCAGTTCTGGACATAGGGTTTGCCGAAAGCGATTTCGGCAATAATCCCAACTGCTTTTGTATCCCTTTCAGCTGCTCGTTGATGTGAAGCTCAAGCTTTGCAAACATCTTCTTGGTCTCCTCCCCATTATCCTGCCACTTCAATGAATTCAAACTCGAACCCAAATGTTGTTCTTATGGTACAGCATCGGAAAACAGCTGTCACCTTTCCCCCCTTAGTTCTGTAAAATGGTGGGCGAGGCAAACCAGGATCCATTTTGTGGGAACCTACATGTTTTCATGTGCGAGTCTGTTTCGTGATGTGTACCGATGTATCAAAACATCCTTATCGTATCCCGTCATCATCACTCTGTTTTGGCATGTCACAGTACGTGTATGTGTATATAGATTACATATATAGATGATAAAACATGCAAATTCACACCTTCAGTAAAACCCTTAGTTACTCATGACATTGTGACACACATTGGTAGGCGCTTTGAGTTCCAGCGTCCTTCAATGACATACACTCTCAACATGACAACGGTTCTTGATTGGAATGGCCTGTGCGCTCGAGGGGGAGGGGGTGGACAAATGGTAGGTAAATAAGTTCAACTTTCAGAGAAACGGGTCGAATAAACAAGAGAGAGAGAGAGAGGAGAGAGATAGAGAGAGAGAGAGAGAAAACAGAGAGAGAAGAGAGAGAGAGAGAGGGAGGGGGAGAGAGAGAGAGAGAGACAGAGAGAGAAGAGAGAGAGAGAGAGAGAGACACGAGAGAGAATAGAGAGAGAGAGAGAAAACAGGGAAGATAGGGAAGAGAGAGAAGAGAGATCCGTGGGTTGGAAGAGCAGCAACAGCAGCAGCAGCAGCAAGAGCAAGAGCACCAGACCAACAGCAATAGCTGGGAAGCTCAACACGAATCTTAACAAACCAAAGCTGCGGCAGTAATGTAGAAAAAACAATGATAAGCAATGTAACTAGGAGGCCGGAGGCGAAGCTCAAAACCAATCCAAGCACACCAAAGCAGCAGCATCCGTCGCCAAATTGATGATGGGGAAGGAGAAGCTCGAAACGAACATGGAGTGACATGGCAAAGCGTGTCTGCGAACGACTGTGCGCTGGTACGCTGACGGTGGCTGAGGTCGCGCTGGCTACGCTGATTACGCCGATTGCGCTGATTACGCTGGCCGCGCTGGCGGCCGCGGGCTGCTGGATACGCACACCGATTACGCTGTTTACGCTGGTTACACTGATTACGCTGATTACGCTGGATGCGCTGATTACGCTGGTTACGCTGATTACGCTGTTGACGCTGATTACGCTGTTTGCGCTGGTTACGCTATTCACGCTGGATACGTTGATTACGCTGGCTATGCGCTGATGACGCCGTTTACGCCGATTACGCTGGCCGCGCTGGCTGCGCTGGTTGTGCTGATTACGCTGGCTGCGCTGTTTTGAAGCTGGATACGCTGATTACGCTGACTGCGCCGTAGCGGTGTAACCTGGCAGTGAATCGGGGTAAGCGGTTTATGTAACGGTGCAAACGGTGCAATCGGTGTAAATGGTGTAACAGTGGTGTAAACGGTGTAACGTTGACCTCTGTGATAAACAAGATGGAGCCCACGAACCCGAGTGCAAACACGATCGAAAAGCTACATATTATGAAATGACACTCTTGTAGGACACTCTTGTGGGACACTCTTGTGGGACACTCTTGTGGGTCACTCTTGTAGGACACTCTTGTGGGACACTCTTACGGGACACTCTTGTGGGACACTCTTGTGGGACACTCTAGTAGAAAACTCTTGTGGGACACTCTTACGGGACATTATGGGACACTCTGTGGGACACTCTTACGGGACACTCTTGTAGGACACTCTTGTGGGACACTCGTGTAGGACACTTGTGGGTCACTCTTACGGGACACTCTTGTAGCACACTCTTGCAGGACACTCGTGCGGTCACTCTTATGGGACAATCTTGTCGGACACACTTGTGGGACACACTTGTGAGACACTCTTGTAGGACACTCTTGTAGGACACTCTTGTGGGACACTCTTACAGGACACTCTTGTAGGACACTCTCGCAGGCCACTCTTGTGGGACACTCTTGTGGGGCGCTCTTGTGGGACACTCTTGTAGGAAACTCTTGTGGGACACTCTTGTGGGACACTCTTGTAGGACTCTCTTGTGGGACACTCTTGTGGGACACTCTTGTGGGACACTCTTGTGGGACACTCTTATAGGACACTCTTGTAGGAAACTCTTGTGGGACACTCTTGTAGGACACTCTTGTGGGACACTCTTATAGGACACTCTTGTGGGACACTCTGAAGGGACACTCTTGTGAGACACTCTTGTGGGACACTCTTACGTGACACTCTTGTAGGACAGTCTTGTGGGACACTCTTGTAGGACACTCTTGTGGGACACTCTTACGGGGCAATCTTGTAGCACACTGTTGTAGGACACTCTTGTGGGACACTCTAGTAGGAAACTCTTGTGGGACACTCTTACGGGACACTCTTACGGGACACTCTTGTCGGACACACTTGTGGGACACATTTGTGAGACACTCTTGTAGGACACTCTTGTAGGACACTCTTGTGGGTCACTCTTACAGGACACTCTTGTAGGAAACTCTTGTGGGACACTCTTGTAGGCCACTCTTGTGGGACACTCTTATAGGACACTCTTGTGGGACACTCTTAAGGGACACTCTTGTGAGACACTCTTGTGGGACACTGTTGCGGGACACTCTTGTGGGACACTCTTGTCGGACACTCTTACGTGACACTCTTGTAGGACACTCTTGTGGGACACTCTTGCGCGACACTCTTACGGGGCAATCTTGTAGCACACTGTTGTAGGACACTCTTGTGGGACACTCTTGTGGGACACTCATACGGAACACTCTTGTGGGACACTCTTGTAGGACACTCTTGTGGGACACTCTTGCGGGACACTCTTGCGGGACACTCTTGCAGGAAACTCTTCTTGTGGGACACTCTTGTAGGAAACTCTTGTGGGACACTCTTGTGGGACACTGTTGCGGGGCACTCTTGTGGGACACTCTTAAGGGACACTCTTGTGAGACACTCTTGCGGGACACTGTTGCGGGACACTCTTGTGGGACAATCCTGTGGGACACTCATTTAGGACACTCTTATGGGACACTCTTGTGGGACACTCGTGTAGGACACTCTTGTGGGACACTCTTGTGGGACACTCTTGTAGGAAACTTTTGCGGGGCACTCTTGTGGGACTGTGGGACACTCTTATAGGACACTCTTGTGGGACACTCTTAACTCTTGTGAGACACTCTTGTGGGACACGGTTGCGGGACACTCTTGTGGAACACTCTTGTCAAACACTCTTACGGGACACTCTTGTAGGACACTCTTGCGGGACACTCTTGTAGACACTCTTGTGGGACACTCTTACAGGACACTCTTGTTGCACACTCTTGTAGGACACTCTTGTGGGTCGCTCTTATGGGACACTCTTGTCGGACACTCTTGTGGGACACACTTGTGGGACACTCTTGTGGGACACTCATACGGGACACTTCTTGTGGGACACTCTTGTAGGACACTCTTGTGGGACACTCTTGTGGGACACTCTTGCGGGACACTCTTGTAGGAAAATGTTGTGGGATACTCTTGTAGGAGACTCTTGTGGGACACTCTTGTAGGACACTCTTGTGGGACACTCCTGTAGGACACTCTCGTGGGACACTCTTGTGGCACTCTCTTGTGCGACACTCTTGTAGGAAACTCTTGTGGGACACTCTTGTAGGACACTCTTGTGGGACACTCTTATAGGACACTCTTGTGGGACACTCTTAAGGGACACTCTTGTGAGACACTCTTGTGGGACACTCTTGTGGGACACTCTTGTGGGACACTCTTGTGGGACACTCATACGGGACACTCTTGTGGGACACTCTTGTAAAGGACACTCTTGTGGGACACTCTTGTAGGACACTCTTGTGGGACACTCTTCTTCAGGGCACACTCTTCGTACGAGACTTCCTCCAGAAGTCACGCTGCGAGGCTGCAAGACGAGCGTTTCGTACGAGACTTCCTCCAAAAAAGTCACACGTCAAGTCTCCAAAACGAGCGTTTCGTACGAGACTTCCTCCAAAGGTCACATGTCAAGTCCCCAAAACGAGCGTTTCGTACGAGACTTCCTCAGAAACTCACATGTCAAAGTCTGCAAAACGAACGTTTCGTACGAGACTTCCTCCAAAAGTCAAGCGGAAACACCCATCGGAGCAGACACATCACGCAGCCCTGCCAAGCAGTTTCGCGATTCCAGCCCCTCCAAACAACACCCGCTCACACGCCAATCCCAATGTGACAGCGACATTCACCTCTACCACAACTCACAACCTCACGATTCCCTGCGCCTGCCACGAATCTTTCCGCGTCCACACGTCTGACGCGCACAAAGTACTGCGCGCGCCTGCCACGAAATGTCACCTCTGTCACACCTCGCAACCTCAAGATTCCCTGCGCCTGCCACGAAAATCGCACTTCCACACCTCAAAACCCGCACAAAGTACTGCGCCTGCCACGAAAAGTGACAATATCATCTCATGTGAGCTTCAACAAAATTTGCACCACACCACACGTTTGGAATGATTTCGATCCGTTCTGAGCACACTCCCATCCACCAAGATCGCCATTTCAGCTGAGACTTCTCACGAAAACAGAGCTTCGATGCCCAATGGCGCGACCACATCCAACACCCCAAAAACACGACTCTCCAAACGCTAATCCCAATGGAACTGCGCAGTAAACTGCAGATTTGACAAAACGCTGCGCCTGCGCAGTGAAATCATCCTCCACACTTCAACATCTTACAATTCCACACGATTCCTCGCTATTTCACGCGAATCTGACACGTCACGTTTTCATCCGGAACCCTCTCCAAAAGCTTCCCCGAATGGCCTCAAATTTGAGACGCGACGACGACGACAAACGACGACAAACGACGAGAGACGACGACAGACGACGACACGACGCAAGCCATGCAAACAGCTCCAACCCGCAGACCCCCAACTATAAACGGGAACCCTTCGCTACGCATGCGGGAAAAAGCGGAGGTGGCAAACCTCGAAATTTTGGTCTGCCCTAAACAAAGTTAATCCCAGGTTCCAAGAAAGAATTTAAATTAGTCTGCCCTAAACAAAGTTAATCCCAGGTTCCAAGAAAGAATTTAAATTAGACATGAAATGATCCCTTAAAATGAAAAATAGAATGATGTGAAAAAGAAATCCAATTTATGAATATGAGACTTAAAGGGAGTTAGTATTCAAATTAGAATGCGCTATTTGTTATTTAGAAGTGTTTTTTAATCAGAGTGGGACAATTGCTAACTTTGTTTAGGTGGGTCTATTACTCAGAGGTCAACATTAGACGGCGCAGTGTAAACAGTGTAAAGGTGTAAAGGGTGTAATCGGTGTAAGCGGTGTATTCATTCGGTGTCACGGTGTAGTCGGTGTCAACATGTAGACGGTGTAAACGGTGTAGACGTTGCAACGTGTGTAGACAATGTAAAGGGTATAATGATGTAAACGGTGTAACGGTGTAAACGGTGTACAGAAAAATTGTGGATTCTGGTTGCGCCAGCAATCCGAAAATGCGAAGGCACTCACGCGAGGCAACAATACAATTGAAGGAAAGTTAAACTCACCCGTCCCAGGGAGAGTTGATCCGTCGGGCGGCGATGAAGAGTCGCCTTCCGCGACCCCCAAGTCTATAGGTGTGCGGGTGGAACCTGCCCCAAAGCTAAAGCAGCTAATTGAACTCGGGTAGCTACCCCATAGATCGGTCAAGACAAATTCCTAACTAATAGTTAATCCTGCTGTCTGGAGACAAAAACTTAACAATAGTCAGTTTTCAAAACACCAACAATAGACCATTTTTGGTTTAACTATTTTGAGACAAGTTTGGGCTCAATTTGTTTATGTTGAAAACTATTTTTGAATTGTTTGTGGACCAATATGTTAAAACAGATTTGTTTTAGTAGAAAACAGATATATTTTTGGTGCAGTTTTAGCTGGTGGATAGCTGGTGGGTATGAGTTTCTGTTAAGAATAGTAAGAAATGTATGGTATTGTCTCAAAAATAGTTAGTCAAATTAACTCTTTCTTCATGAAACAAGATGGAGCCCACGAACCCGAATGCAGTCACGTTCGAAAAGCTACATATGTCCAAATGACACTCTTGTAGGACACTCTTGTGGGACACTCTTATAGGACACTCTTGTGGGTCACTCTTATGGAACACTCTTGTCGGACACTCTTGTGGGACACTCTTGTAGGACACTCTTGTAGGACACTCTTGTAGGACACTCTTGTGGGGCACTCTTGTGGGACACTCTTGTGGGACACTCTTGTAGGACACTCTTGTGGCGGGGCACTCTTTTGGGACACTCTTGTAGGACACTCTTGTGGGTCACTCTTGTAGGAAACTCTTGCGGGGCTCTCTTTT